CAAGTATTGTAAGGATTATCAATCATCATTATGAAGCAAGAGATCAAGCTGAAGAGCAGATGGGTAGGATAATAGTTAGCTTAAACGGTCCCTACGAAGGTGTGTTGGTACGTAAAAGCCCAAACGGCCCTGGAGACTTGCAGGAGGGCTTTTCTACTCTTACAGGGCGATGATTCCCATGGTGGTCAAATGCAGTCGCGTGTACACGCGCGAGGATGTTTCGGTAAAGTGCGGTAAGGCCATTGAATGAAGAGAATCGCGAGTAAATTGGAAACACAGATGGGTGTGTCGTATGTCTCGTGAATCGGTGTGTCTAGATTCGAGTATCCGGAGACACAGAGTGCATGGACTTTGTGATTCAAATATAGGTAGAGATGCACTCATTTTGCTAACGGACATAAAAATCATGCTCGGGATTACAAGTCCAAGGTAGTCCACGACCTAAAATCATAAATGAATATTGAACGCCAATCTCGCTCAAACGCCAAATGCCATGCCAAAATAGGTTCCTCAAGTCAGATGCGATCTACTGCTTTCACAATGCGTGGACAAAATTGAAGCCAACGATGCCCTCGGCGCATGCATGATCCATTTCTGTCCCTGGAAAGACAGAAACTCTACGGCCAATGATGCCATCATCGCCGACTTCCAGCGAGACTGGCCTTTTCAACGCCAACTCCAGTATAGAACCGTTCTCGAGGATCGAGGCACCGGAGAAGGCGAAGCGTTCGAACAAGCCGCAATCTTCAAGTTTACGAGTGAGGTCACCGGACTGACTGTTAAGAAGAGCTTTGTTAATGCCTGATGCTACTCAACCCTATCTAGCGACGTTCAGGTCACCATTACTTACTGTATCACGACAATCATCTCGGACAACGACTGTAAATCGCAACCTTCGCCGCCTGTGATTCGTGCATGGGTCGCCAAAGAGCATCCCGGTTGACCAGGCGTATGAAAAGCGAGATCTCCGCGAAGGCGCTGTTTCGGTGTTGTCGGGCTGTGCTGGCTGCAAGGTTGGTTGAGAACAGCCAAAGCGCCGCCTCGGGGCTTGGTGCAGGTATCTGGGCCGCACATGGTGAGATGTGAATGAGTTGTGAGTATGGCTAGCAAGTCCGTGGATGCTGTTGGAAGGCCGACTTGTGAGAATTGGAAAAACTGTACAAACCAGCAACTCGAAAGGTAGAGCCTTCGCGATGCTTTAAACATCTCGATTGATCCTAATAACTCCCTCAAGGTGCTCAATCTGTCTCTCTATCCCTGTCATCCCAAAACGAGAGTGAACGGGTCGCGGACCGGGGGGTAACTAACAATAAGTTGGCCAATCATAGCACATCGCTGACCCCAACTTTGGGACTGGAGGGCCCTGCACGGGTTTCCTGGTGAGCAAGTTAGAGCAATATTGATCATGTTTAAGCCGGTCTGCGCTACATACACATATCGCCGCGACTTACAGACTGTTGACTTTACTAAAAACACATCGAAGTCGACAACAGTCCTCTCGAAGATGTATCTTGACGAGGACTGAATCTCGAGGCATATGGGCGGGTGGAGATGCCCGAGTCGTCGGTGGGCGTTAGCACCATGACCCATGCAATTCCGGAATGGAGCCGGTCAATGAGACGGAGGAAGGGCAGCCATCAAGGTGTTTGTCACATCCTCGGCCTCAACGGACATGGAAAAGGCGAGTCTTGTTGCCTAGATGATAAATGTGCTCACTTCTACCCCTCATTTGGACCGGTTGTATGTCTTTGCCGGCGGGAGTGACTCTGGATTCTAAGTCCTTACCCCTCGATACCCTTTCCTATTGACTCAACTTCATCTACACACAGCTCCAAGACCTCACGATATTCGCTGCACAGTCTAGCTAACCAGACCATACCCGGCATCAATATTTGACAATGACCAGCGCGCAGTACACGCTACCTAAGCTTCCCTACGCTTACGATGTTAGTTTCCCATCACTGCTCGATAGAGCCGCTGTATGCTAATCTCATCCGCAGGCTCTCGAGCCTCACATCTCGGCTCAAATCATGGAGCTACATCACAGCAAACAGTAAGCCGCATCGTGCCGGGGAGAAACGGAGTATGCGTCACCAAGGTACTAATCATTGAGTTAAACAGTCACCAAACATACGTCACGAACTTGAACAAAGCCATAGAGACCTACAACGCGAACCCTCTCCAAAGTCGATTCACGGTCCTCGCAGCCCTCAACTTTCACGGCGGTGGCCACATCAACCACTCCCTCTTCTGGGAGAACCTCTCCCCAGCTTCAAGCCCGGATGCTTCGCCTGATGCGGCACCGAAGCTGATCGCCGAGGTTACTCGTATCTGGGGTAGCCTTGATCAATTCAAAGCGGCCTTTAATGCCGCTCTGCTTGGTATCACCGGCAGCGGCTGGGGTTGGCTGGTCAAGGACGATGTCACAGGCCTCAGCATCGTTACCACCAAAGACCAGGACCCCGTCACCAAGGGTGTGCCCATCTTTGGTGTCGACATGTGGGAGCACGCGTACTACCTACAGGTTCGTCCCCACCGATGAGAAGATGTGCTTGAGACTCTAGTAGACTAATCAAGGAGAGTGATAGTATCTTAATGGAAAGGCGGCATACGTGGAGAATATATGGAACATCATTAACTGGAAGACCTCAGAGCTCAGGTTCTCGGGCAGTCGAGATGATGCATTCAAGGCATTGAAGGCGGTCCTCTGAGAACAGTATGTTGGGATGGAGATTATCCAGAGAGTATCCAGAAATTTGAGGTGCAGGACTATGAATAGACTGCACATCTTTATCCCAAAGTTGTTTGCTCGCAAGACGAAGAGGCGAGGGTACTCTCCCAGGGTGCAGTGCGAGACAGTTGCATCACGCACTTGATCTTTCATCTATTCCAGCGGGACCTGCCACAACCAAATCAAGCGGCTGGGCGTGCCGAGGAGAATTGAATCGCACACATAGGTGCCGCGATTGTGGCCACCTTACGACTCCTTACCCGGCCGTGTAACCTGCAATTGTGGAAGAGCTTGGCAATGATTCCTCTCGCAGAGCTTAAGACAGTCTCAGATACGTGTTTTTGCTCTGTATGTGAACATTACTTCACTCTACACAGAATGCCAATTTAGTCGCATTGTACGAGGATCAATGATTCATGGCCCCCGTCCTCGGTGATGTGGCGCACAACCGTAACTTCGAACGCCTTTGGCCACGCGTGCCACGCATCGAGGTGATACCGTCGCCTGGACAGGTCGGGGCAAGGTTTGGTCAAACAAAACATCCCGTGCAGATCAAGGTGTGTGGTAGAGGGACTATCCCCCAAGTCCAGTACAGCCGCTCGCCCAAATCTCCGAGTACCAACAAGGACAAACATCAACGGGTGTGAGACGGCCCACACAACCCGAGATGAAGTGCAAACAAGACGTGAAGCTCTGCTGATCCTTCCAAAGTGACGAAGATGACTCCCGCCTTCGGCCGATTAGAAAACTTCCGACTTTTCTGTTGCAACGGAAACTTCTAGACAAAAGTGCTTCCTTCATCCTTCCCGCCGCAGAAATCGCACATACTCCCGCAATCAACATGTGACAAGAATGTCAAGTTTACGGGATCTGATTGTACGTGTTGCTCATCTGCAGGATGCACCTCCCCGGTATAACTACCTTACAAGTAGAATGAACTGTTTCTGTGAATCCAGTCCCTAAATGGAGTTTATGTGTAGGTGCATTCTCTGGTCCTGCAACCAAGGACACAAGCTCTAAACTTCTTTTTGTTATGAAGGGAACAGATGTTGTCTGTTTGGTCCCACCCCTGAATGGTCGGAAACCCGCAGCTACGTCAATGCAGGCATGCACACACGCGATGCGTGCACTGGCGTCGGTGTTACACCATCTTGTTGGAAGCCAATGTGAAAGCAAAAAAGTCCCTCACTACCGTAGTATCTCATGCTTGATGAAAAATACGGGATCTGTCGTGCTGGAGCATCCTTAGAGAATAGTGATTCCAGGTTATTGGAAAAGCTCGAAGCTTCAAACATTCTACAATTCGGGGCGAAGAGGATGTCAGATTCTCGTACATGTGCCCTCCAGAACACGCAGATCACAAAATCGTATTCCGATGCTCCAATCTTAAGGCCAGGGTAACGCGAACTTGCACTTCTTACCTATTTTGCTCGTATGAGGTTATTTGACTATGTGGGTTGTCTGCCAGAGATTGTGTGGGACGGACACCTGCAGCCGCAACGAGGGCATCTGCAGCCGTGCTCATTCACACGACTCTGTTTTCTCGCCGCTCTTGTTTGCCTACCAAGATTTCCCGTCGAATCTAAAAGGCAGGGGCATTAATCTTGTATTCCGAATTCTACCCGCAAACGAACACTGCATCCTGAAGTGCTAGCTCTGAAGCGCATCCAAGCTATGTAGCATCACACGTTGTAGCCGTTACTTGAGATTGCTAAATTATATGGCTTTCCTTGCCAGAAATCCCATCTGTTTTCGGCTCAAATTATCACTCGTGAAGTTTGAATGGTTTTGTCAAACAATCCTGACGGTCTGGCTCAGATGAGATCAGGTACCCATCCCCTTGACCCATGTGGCAACGACGCATCTCGAACGTTGCGGCTTGTGCGATCTCGCTTCAAACAACCACGAGGGCAAGCCTCTAACTTCTGTTTAGCTCGGAAATTCAATAGGGAGATACTTGAATCGATCGCTGTGTTGTTGGCTCTCAGCGGCGCCCTGCATGAAAAGCCTCGCCGAAGGACGTTCTAGGCCGGGGTAACGGCTTCCGTGACGAGGATGTCTGCCGGCCCTCCCGTCGGCGTTGCAATCGAGAATGCTCTGAGATATATGCTGTGTCATTTAGCATTGGTGTACATAAGATGGGCTTCTTGATATAAAGCTGTCTGGACAGACGAAATGGTGTACTGGAGTTTCGCTTCTCATCTCAAACCCGCAAGCACCAGCTGTTGCAACGCCACACTCGTTTGATATCCCGAACCCTCTGCCAGTCATGGTCCCTGTCGCACTTCACTTCGTCCTTTTAGGTCTTAGGTGAGGATTCAATCATCTTTTTCTCGACCATTGCTGACCCGACTTGGCAGTGCCTCTTTGGTAAACGCCATCCCTCCCAACGCCAACAACTACCTCATCCCGCACCCTCCGGCGACGGTCACTGTCACTGCTTGTGGCTCTCAGTGTGCCAGTACCGTGACTCTCACAGAGATCTTGACTGTGACGTCTCCGTACATTCACACTTGCGAGCCTTCTAGTACGGGCATTCCAGGAAGCTTGAGCTCTAAGACCTTGTCGTCCAGCATTCTAACTCTTGCGTCTACGTCCCTCCGTCACACCAACTCGTCCACCTCCGTTAGCTCTAGCAGTTCTTCTGAAGTCACCGGAGCAGTGTCATCATGGACTCCAACTACGGGAGTCACTTTCTCCTCCCAGCTGCCTAGTGCTGGCACCCCGAGCTCCTCTCCAACCTGGGCCACCAATACTACGTCGTAAGTTGACATTCTTTCGCAATGTCCATTGATATTAATTGATATCCCAGAACCCTCAGCCTTCCCAGCTCTTCCAGTCATGGCGGCACTGCCGGAACGAGTGTTACCACTGGCTCCCCCTCGAGCCTCTGGACGAACTCTACCCGCACTCATATTACTCGCACCGTTACCAAGACCATCCGCACTACTGACACAGACTCGTCCACTTCTTCAAAAGTTACGACTCAAAGCATCCCAAGCATCCCCACGATCAGCATTCCTCCTCTTCCGTCTCTTTCCACACGATCCAAGTCGAGTATCGCCCCCCCTGTATCCTATTCATTGACCACCCTCACCACCACATCAGTCTTCAACACCACTGTCTCGTCTCAGCATCCCGGAGCATCCACACCCCCTCTCTCCACTTCTCATACCACGAAGAGGACTACAGTTGTCGTCACCCTCACGAAGACCGTACCTCTCAGCACCGGGACTGCCTCCTCGTCGACTAGTCGCGGTACAGGAGTCTCCAGTGGCTTTCCATCTGTTTCATCGCCAACCTCCATTCAGCTTTCCACCACGCTCGGCTTCCCTACCACCACCGCCCCCAGCTTGTCCAACACTACTCCTACCTCTCTCGGGAGCAGCACTGTCTCTACTACATCCAAGGAACCTTGCACAACTCACGAGGAATCCACATCCACGTCTGTGTCGTCGTATCTTTCCCTTCCCTCCACTTCTGCACCGGGATTCACAATCTCCAGCGCTCTGTCAACTCTCGTCACACCCACAGGTACAGCAACTCTGAGCAGCGTTTCTGGCGGATACGACTACCCTCCCTCCACTCAGGAGTCCACCGCATCGCCGGGAACTACTGTAGGCAGCGCCAAGCCTACACTCGTCTCTAGCAGCACTTCGGATATCCCTGGAGGCTACGACACCTATTACCCAGCTTCAAGCTCAACCTTGGGTACCACCATCTCCAGTGCTCTTCCAACTTTGATTAGCTCAACTGCCAGCAGCATCCCTGGTGGTTACGACTATCCCCCCTCTTCATCTTCCCAGTCGTCCCAGGAGTCGAGGTCGACCAAGTATCTCGGCACCACCGTGGCCAGTGCTCGACCGTCCCTGGTGAGCCCCTCCATTTCAGGGGTATCGCCCACCCCGACGACCTTTGAGACTCGCAAGTCTGATGAATACACTTCGGCGTCGACCATCTACGGTGGATATGAATTCGGCCGTCGTCGGGCTCCGAGAATGTAGTTTCCGTCTTGTACAAAATTACGACACTCTTGGTGTGAACGTCCAGTTTAGTCTGGCTTGATAGATTGATATGAGGGGTCTTGGGGGCTGGAGTACAAAGCTGGTGTTTCTCTTCTTGACTTTCGTTTAGACTTCTTCTATTTAAGGGCATTCCCAGATATCATGGCACGAAATGGACAGCAAAAGTGGAATGGGGCCAACTACGGTATTACTTGGCTGATACCGAATATTAAATATTTGGTGTTACACGAGCAGTGCTGTATGTCAGAGCTAGAGTAGACCCAGCTTTGATTCTTAGAACAACGCAGCTACTTTATTCTTGTGCTACATCTACGTCTGATCAGTCAACGATTCGCTTTTGAACATCACTTTGACGTAACTTTAGTGTTCATGGGGGGGATTAAGTAATTGGATAGGTGACTCACACGTCATGGGACGTCGTAGGCACCATTGGAATGTTTCGCGTCACTTGGTGTCTGCACATAAGGCACAGTCAAATAACATTCACGCAAACGGGCAAATATACAAGTAGGTGCAGGGACCCCAGCGCTTCGGTCGGTCCTACCAGCTGCTGCATATTTGGCTCGCCATCTTTGGGGACGAATTTTCGCCCGCATTTTCTCTCTTTGATCGCCATTGTGGGTTCTCATTGGTGTCCTTGATTGCTCAGCTCACTAAGATGTCTTCTACTCTCTAACCCGGGCGCGGATGATGCGGGACACAATCCAGTTTCTCGGTCCGAACTTCAGTCTATCCCAAAACTCTAGTGTCTCAGTCCTAGGGCTGAGCCGTGGCGGCAGTCATGGAAGCTAAGGAAATTAAACTCAAAGCTAAAGATGCGTTAAGAATGTTACCTGCCTGTCTAAAAGCGCAGCTGGTGTTATGCCTGGCAAAAATGTCACGAGGACGGAGAGACGCCTCAATGGCCAGCCTTGGCGCAAGTCTGGGCTCTAGGATGGCTCTACAATTTGGTATTAGTAGGTTATGGAGTAGCACACGACTGCCGCAAACATCCAATACGCTCCAGGGTATTCGAGCGAATGGCTGTTGTGGCGCAATAGCATTGATATGTCAATGAGAAAGCTGCATTCCCCGCCTGAAAAGATGACCTCGAATGTGACCCGCCTGTAGTGAAGAATCTAGCCAAATTTTACGGAATACCGCTTGTTGGCATCGTGGAATGAGGCAAAATATAGCACTGAAACAACAATTACGACATGTTTGCCCGTAGCCATCTTTGCTGCTTCTGCTGGAATGATCAGCAGCTCTGTGGAGTGAATTCAACACCGTCGAAGCATTTGCCTAGGGTGGTTCGCGGAATAGGAGCTGCGGGGAGCTTTTGTCTACATATCTCAAGACATTGTTCTCCATATGAGGAGGTTGTCAAATCCACCTATCACAGCAGACGACGTCGGAGATGGATCGAAGCACTGCGGCTGAAGCACCGCCAACGTCTGTGGCTCAAAGAAACAGGCTTGGCAGAAGCTGTTCAGCTCGTTCATCTACCCAAGCTGCCAGCTTTCCCCGCATGTGTGAATCAAAATGCCGAATGCATCCAGCCTTACTCTGCTAGCAGCGAGCGTGGCGTATTCCAGCCATCTGGTTGAAGAGACCCTCTTCAAACGGTTTTGGATAGCTCAAGCGAGTTCTGGAGATGGTCCACATGAAGTGTATAATAATGATCGGCACGGTCTTCCCATCTTGAGATGTCTCTGCTCAGATTCAATATTGAAAATAACCATTGGAGTGAATTCGAGTTGACTTCAACATGAGATTCCTTGCCTTCATCTGTCTCCTATCTGGGCCGTTATCCTGGGTGTCTGCGCAAAACTTCAGCAACTTGTCAACTTCTGATGCTCCAGCATCTTCTGTCGCCAGGCCGCCAGTGCCAGTCAGCTCTCCAGGTCAGTACAAATAGTGAAAGGCCCTTAAGGCGGACTCGCTGCTTTATGTCTTGTTGTGCGAGACTTTGCTGACATGAGAGCATATAGAACCAGCCGCTCCTCCACCCGCAAGCACCAGGCCCAACAAACCGCAAGAGGCTTCTTCCGTAGCAAGACCACCCGTATCAGAAGCTCGTCCAAGTTCAGCGCAGCCTTCTGTTCAAATCATCAAGCCCTCCTCTGCGAATGTAGAGGTTACATCTAAGGCTGCTCCTGCATCATCTGCTGTGCCTGCCTCTCCCAATTCTCCCAAAGAAGCAGCGTCTTCGGTCCAAGTCAGCGTGTCTGGTCAAGCGGTCCCTTCGAGAGGGATAACAGACTCGAGGGAAGCTCCTTCATCTAGAGTAATTGTACAAAGCGGCGAAGCATCAGCAAGTATTCCAAACTCAAATTCAGCACAGCGCAGTTCTCAGGCGCAATCCAGCGTACCCAGAGGTCCCGGTAGCTCTACGTTAGTCCAGGTCCAGGGATCAGGAACCACTGCACCTGGTGCCCCTCAAGCGTCAGGCACTCGGGCAGTTGATGACCCGGGCAATGTTGCATCGACTCAAGTGTAAGTGCTTCTTGATACCTTAGTAATTCTTGCTAAACTGAAAAAGGTCTCGAACTGGCTCTCTTGGTGCCGGTCAAGCTACTTATACAGTCTCATTGCCAGAGCTAGCTACTACGGCCTCCTTTGCCGCTCAACCATCGGACAGCTTCCAAGGTGTTAACGAAACAGCAATTCTGGCGGTCCCAGAGTCTCAAGTTGTCACACCTCCCGATAAATCAACGATTGAGCAATTTCAAGCCGAGCTCAATGTCAATGTTCCGGCAAAGTCGATAAATAATAACAATGCCCGGGCGCTGGCGATCCTTGAGACGGCGTATTTCGAGTACTTTGCCAAGAAGGACCCTGCTCCTGTCGACATGGGAAAAATCTCCATCCCAGCCAATATTTCCGAGTGCCAAAATTTATACTCTCAGAGATTGGCAAGGAGAAAGGCCTTCGTTGACAACGTATTCGACTGGATACCATTAGTATCACGGGACCTCCGAGGCTTTAGCAATTGCAAAGCAGTTGACTCTATGGAAGTTGGGGTATATTTTCATTATATGAGAGCCTCTTCGACCGCCGAGAAACCAAATGAGCTGGAGTCGAGGGTGAAAGGACAGGTAAGCTCTCACTCATCTATTGTAGAGATTGTCAGAGTATTGGGACTGAAGGTGTGTAGATCGATGTCCTGAACGAGGCTTTGGGAGCAGTGAGGATCAACTTCCGCTTTATGGCACTCAATTGGTGGGAGCCAAAGGCAAATGAGGACTGGTCAAGAGTAACCAGACAGGAGGCTAAATTATTAGACTGGCAACGCCGCACACGCGCGCCTGGAAAGCTAACATTGACCGTTTGGATTGTCAATGGGTTGCGAAGCAGTGAAAAGAATGACCAGGAACTCAACAGCGTAAGGCTATTCCAACTAACTACCTGATCATGAAAGAAAACAATGACTAACTCTTGATTATCATCATGCATAGTACGTCACGTTCCCAAACCAGCAGCTCGATGAAGCAGACGGTATTGTAATTGAAGAGGCGCATGTTCAGGGAGGCGACGCCACAACACTTGTTCACGATGTTGGTCACTGGTTTGGTCTCGGTCATACGTTTAATGAGATCGGCCAGGAATGTCTCATTCAAGATGGATTGACAAACGCGACCCAGACCTCGGGTAATCGTGACGTGGTTTATCAATGCTCGCAGGTAACATGCGTTGGTGGTCCAGCGGTTGAGATCAATAACTACATGAGTGTCAGTGTCCTGCCGCCCTCATATTGGACTCAAAGAAGAGCACTAACGGATAGCTTTTGGTTGGAGAACAGTACTCCTCGTGCCGTGGAAAAATACCGCAGAACGGCTTCACCACTGATCAGAAGGCGCGGATGTTTGCCAATGCGCTCGAATTCAGGCGCGGGTACGAAGCGGGAGAGTGCATGCCGGACGGGAAAGCGGCCGTGGGAAAGAGGTCTAGCATGCAGGATCTGCTCGATGGGAAGTGCCCGGATGTTAGCAAGCAGGCAAACATTCTCATGAACACCCCGCATAGCTCGTGGTCACCTGTCGTCGGACGTCTAGCTAAGAAGATCTTGATGCCGATAACCTTAACATGGACAGTTGTGTTTTGGTTCCTCTGATGCGGCCCCAGGCCTGCTAGGGTAATTTAGAGGGAGCGATATTGGACTTTGTTTTGCAAGATAATGAAGAGAGACCGAGTAATGGTATTAAAAAACTTGTATTGCTTTTGACTTGAACTACATGCCCGATGTCAAACACATGACTTCGGGCAATAAACCTCCGTATGGTGGTGCAGAAAACTTCGATCATCCACCATCAACCATGAATCGTTTCGTTCCGGCTTTTCTCATGAACGTACAAAGAGTCCACCCATCTATCTTTACAGATAGCACCGGGCGAGCTCTACTTCCAAGAGCCATGTTTCCAGTGGTCTGGTAGCTTAGATGGCAAGAGCACCGAGAACCAGCATGGCAAGACCGCCGATGGGGGCAAGACCAGCAGCGCCAGCCTGGACGGCGGAGGTGGTAGCGGCAGCGGTACCGGAAGCGGTGCCAGAGGCAGAGGCGGTGCCGTTGCTGGCGCGGGTAGAGGTGACAACAACGCTGCTGGCGGAGGGAGAGGCAGTGACGGTCACGGCCGTGGTGGAGGCAACGGAAGGCATGCTGGCGGGGGGGACCGAAGAGGCAGCAGAGGCAGCCGAGGAGGCAGCGGCCGAGGAGGAGGCGGAAGCTGAGGCAGACATGCCAGAGCCGGCCGAAGCGGCGGCGCAAAGCTTGTCGGAGGCGGGAAGGACCTGGTCTGTTGATAAGTGAGGTTAGCCTTCTGATCATACTACTTTGGTAGTACATAGGAATGCATGTAGACATACTCAGAGCAACGTCGGCACCGCAGGCTCCGACGACGCAGCCAGTGGCGGCGGCCTGGATGGCAGACTTGTTGGCGGGCTCGCAGGAACAGACGTAGTCGCCCGCCTTGCAGCTGGTGGCCGAGGCAGTGGCGTCCAGC